GCTCTGAAAAAATTTTTAGCCGTGGAGAAGCACTATGCTGATATTACAGAAGATCAGTTTGACTTCCATTCTTATTGCTTAAGGAAAATGACTCTACGTGCCTATGTGGAAATGCTTAGATTTCAAGATCGGTTGCATTCACATGCATATTTTCACAAAGCAGCAGTTGGTGCAATCAGGTGAAGTATTTTCATTAGAACTGTGAAGTAAGTTGTAATGAGTATAGATACTTTTGGAGTTTGTGAGTTTATTATTATTGTTGTTATACTTTTTAACATTAGTTTGTGACTTGTATTCCTTGATTTCTTGTTTCATTGAACGCGCTCCCAAATTAGGTAAACTCTGAGGATTTTGTATATATATTGTTGGCTGTAAAAGTGGTTGTGTTGTTGCATTACTGATTATCGCATAAGTTGCTTCAAAAGTGGAAAGAAGGCCTGACTGAACATTCTTCTTTTGATTCCATTATCACAAATAAAGTCTTATTATCTTTTATTTTTAATGACGTCAGAGGGGACTTCTATTCCATCAAGGGCCCCCTAGAAAAATTTTAGGTGAAAGAGGATAATTAATCTGTCCAGTTTTCACAACTGCATCCAAATAATATTGTGTTATGTTTGTCACTTTGCAATAAAGCTATATGCAGTTCTTTAAATATTGACCCACACTCATACTTATGATTGTATTTGACTTGCAGATGCTATTTGAAGCTGTATGATTCTCCTTTGAAATCTACCTCTGAAGAAGATGATGAGATGTCTAAGTTGCTCCCTTCTCAAAAAAAGAAAATGAGGCAAAAGCAGAGAAAGGCAGAAGCACGAGCTAAGAAAGTATTGTATTTTGTTTGTGTTGCTCGGGGTTATTAAGCATTTTTTCCCCATTCTAATGTTTAGCTTTCTTTTAGGAGGCAGAGGGAAAAAATGAAGAATCTAGTGTGAGTGGTGTATCTAAGTCTGGGAAACGACATGTAAAGCCTGTTGATCCAGATCCACATGGGGAGAAGTTGTTGCAGGTTATTTTTTCTATTCCCGATTGCTTCTTACCCCTTCGCTTCACGTTTCTAACTGCTGTACGGGCATAGAGTAAATGGCATTATCCTGTCTCTCTTACGCTATTACATATTTACTCAGGTTGAGGATCCGATGTTAGAAGCTACAAAGTACTTGAAGCTGCTTCAGAAGAACTCGCCCGAGTCCTTGGAGACACACTTGCTTTCTTTTGAAGTAAATATGAGAAAGCAGAAGATTTTGCTTGCCTTTCAGGTAAAAATTTGTTCAAATGTTGAGTGAGATGTTTCTCATTAAGTTTGATTTCCTTGAAGCACTCCCATTTTGTTTATTGGTTCAAAGAGTTAAAGCAAAGATTTGTCACAAATATTAATACCGAAGACATCTGTCAGAAACGACGACAAAAGTAATACTTAGAATTTGTACTTGTTACTTTTTCATCTCTAACAAAGAGCAGTCTGTCAGAAATGGAATTTCATGTTTGTTAGTTAAATCACTTCGCAAGATTTTACAGATGTTTGTTATAGTTAAACTTTCTTTTGATTTATCACAGCTTTTTTTTTAAATTAAATTTTTTTCTTAACTATAGGCTTTGAAGCAGCTTCTGAGGTTGAATTCTGAACACCCAGATTCGCATCGCTCCTTGGTATGTTTTACTTGTTTAGTGTCTGCTTGCTTGTTTGTGTGTGGGTGTGTATGTTGCGATCTTTCTGTAGGCCCTATTGTAAGATTTCATGTATTGCAGATTAAATTCTTCCATAAAGTTGGCTCCATGCCTGCTCCTGTGACTGATAATGAGAAACTCATTTGGAGTGTGTTGGAAGCAGAGCGCCCATTGATCAGGTTCTCTTTTAATGTGCACTTTGCTCTCTCTCTCTCTCTCTCTCTCTCTCAATCTCTCTGTGTTTGACAATTTTAATTTCACTTACCAAACATCGTTTTTTTTAATCTAGTCAATTGCAAGGGAAGTCTTTAATTGAGGCAAACAAGAATTTCTTGGAGAAACATCAAGGTGACTTTTAGGATTATCACTGTAAAAGAAAAATGCATAAGCATTCGTTTTCCTTACGTCTTCTGTTGTTTTTGTGTTTTGTTTTTTCTGCAGATTCCTTAATGCATAGAGCTGCAGTTGCAGAAATGCTATATACTATGGAACCAGAAAAGAAATCTGAGGCTATTAAATTAATTGAAGAGTCAACCAACAATATGGTGCCCAAGTAATGCCCTGTTCCATTTCCTACTTCTAAATTGCCTTCGAAAATTGTAAATTGGTTTACATGTCTGTAAGAGTGATTGTTCTTAAATGTCTGCATGCATCAAATCAGAAGTGGATCACTTGGACCTGTCAAAGAGTGGAAACTCAAAGATTGCATTACTGTCAACAAACTCCTTGAAACAATAATTGTTGACCCTGTGGCTGCTCTGAGTAAGTAAAACAGCTAGAGTCTATTTCTATTCTTTTTATATTCTACAGGATGTTAAAAGCAGTTGTACATTGGTGTTTGTTGGCATATTTTAGCCTACTTATGTTTGTATATTAAAAGCTGGGTTACTTCTCACAAAATTGGAGATAACAGTATAGATAGCATCTTGGATTGCTCAAGTTCATGCCGCTCTAGTTTCCAGTTGCTATTGACAAAATATGCTACCTGTGCTTGTTTTCTTAGTGATTTTCTCCCTTCTGGGTAGTAATCAATGTTGCAAAGATGACACATTTTTTGTTGGGGGAAAAAAGGCCCTTAGGGAACTGTGAAGACAGCTGGGATTTTGTATAGCTTTTTACATGTCTTCATCCAATTTAAGAATATGTAAATCAGTAATATGTTCATCTGGTTCAAGATATGGGCTCCTATAATTCTTTAATTCTTTTGTAGGATGGAAAGAGCGATGTGCTGAGTACTTCCCTTACTCTACATACTTTGAAGGGAATCGTAGCTCTGCAGTACCCAACTCAGCATACAACCAAAATGGAAGTGCAAACCACTCGGAAGGTGGGCAAAGTGCAGAATCAATCGCAGTAAATGGGAAATTAGAGGCATTTAAAGACCTCACCGTGCAACCATAAAGTTGAAGAGAAACATTAGCCAAGGAAACTTGCAAGTTCACCATGTTTGATTGGTGAATCCCAAAACCAAGCTGCAGGTCAGAAACATATGCCCAGAGGGTTGCAGCTCGTTGAAGAGAACTATGCTGGGGTTTTGTGCACAAAGTTATGGTTTCCTTTTGAGATCAGGTTTACTTTTCCCATCAGTTCTGCCTTTCCCAATTGTGAATCTGAAAATGTGTATAATCTACTTTTCCATTGTGACTCTAGGGTTTATTTTCTTTCTTTTTGAATTTGCTCACATTTTTTGTGAGGATCTTAGATGAGGTTACTTATTGGGGATGTGCGCCTAAATTTGATCTTACTAATAGGTTGAGGGAGGAGCTACATAATATCATTTTTTTTGGCACTGGTTTTAGATCCGGTCAGAATAGATACCGGAGCATGTTGTACTTTTCCCATTTCATTGACTTCATTATTATGTATAAACCCTAAATTATTTGAAAATTTTTGCCATGGATTCCATACAATTTGCAATTGATAATTTGATATTGCTTCTGGATCAGCGTTGGTGGTTTGTGACATACAGGCCATGAGACTGAACAAGTTTTATTTTCATTTTTCAATTAAGCTCTTCGGGATTGCCTTTTGAATTTCCTTACGTTTTTCCGAGCTCATGTTTTCATTTCAAATTCTTGTTGCAACTTATACTAGTTTAATCGTTATAAGCTGAACTCAAATTTAAACTCGGATCTTACCGCGTTGCATGCAAGCATGTCTTTTTGGTGTCACGCTTGGGTTAATCTTTATTTTTCTCTCTTTGGGGTCAAAATTGTGGCTAACAATTCAGGCCAAGGTGAAAAGAGAACTCCGGTTGTATTTTATGGGGTCTGGAACAATGTTGTCGGCTGAGGTATCTGGCCAATAGCGAGGAGAGAATTTTAGCTCTCTCCGGTTGAATATGCCCATGTGCGGCCTATAGCGCACTATTGTCGATACAGGGGATATACAAACCGGTTACAAGGCGGATTCTCTCAATGGTGAGCCACTGCCGCAGTTGGAGTTGAGAGTTGTAGACACAAATGGGATGTGCCAAGGCAGGCAGATGGTCTGAAATGGTGAAACACTGATGCTTGCTCTAACCTCAAATTTTTTTCTTTGTTCATTTGATGCAAGTGATATTGGGTGATGGATTATTCGAACACAAGACCTCAGGTGCATGAGTAAATTCTCTTAACCACTTGAGTTACAAGCCCATTGTTTTCCTATCTCACTTTTACAAAGGGGGACATTATGCATTGATTTATCAACAATTTGTCAACGCACTCCACATGAAATCATGTAAATATGGTAGCTCTCTTAGCTCAACCTCATCTGCATACTTGGCCAATCAAATACAAGAAGTCTGCACCATATTGAAGGAGAAAAGCACATCAAATATTGAATGACGACAATTGTGGATACTTAAATTATTGTAATTCTTCTGACCGAAAAATTTACTGTGATTCTTGATTTCCTCTTTGTTTCTCCTAGTTTACGCATATAGAAAATCTTTCAACTCGCATGTTTAAACATGGACCTTACCATGTTTGCAAGCATGTACTTGGAAATGCTATTTGTTTGGTGTCTTTAGGTTAGCGGTTCTGGTTATTAAAATAACATTATAAAAATAAAATAAACAATTTTTTTTATTTATAAAAAAAACCCCCTAAAATCTCACTCTTCCGGTTAGCGGTTCTGGTTGTTTCATATTTTGAACGGTCTGGTCTACATACGATTCCTTCAAGAATCAATTGACCATCATTCTGAATCTTGTGGTCACAAAAGTAGAGGATATTCCAAAGTTCTAAACCTCAGTATACATCAGTTTTAACTTTTAAATAAGAAAGCCAAAAACTAATGTATCAGGCATTTGAATATCCTGGCATGTTCAAATGTTAGCAGCTCAATATCAGAACCCGAACGGAATGGAATTTCGATAAAATTGCTTCTTAGGTGACAAGGTGTACTTGCAGACTGTAGTTTGGACATGAGACATGTTTATCATTTTTTTCCTTCCATAGCAAGGGCTCCATGAATGTGCCCACCAAACAAAGAGTACAGGACAAGGTACAAAACTCACCTGTATATTTGAATAGTATATATGAAATTTACAGATATACTGAACCGCATGTCCCCATGACAGAACCTGAGACAACAGACTCGGTTGTCAAAGGCTCTTCTGTGAAACAATATGGAATTTTTTGCACTTCGACGAACCACCCCAATTGGGGTTTGACCATCTCCCTCACCCTACTGCTGGTCCGAGTCTCTGGCCAATGGTGAGGCACTGCTGCTCTCTCCAACCTCACTTTTACAGAGGGGACATGATGCATTGATTTTCAACCATTTGTCAACGCACTCCACATGAAAGACATGTAAACATGGTAGCTCTCTTAGCTCATCCTCATCTGCATACTTTGCCAAGCAAATACAACAAACCTGCACCATATTGAAGGAGAAAAGCACATCAATCAAATGAAAATTTTGGAAATGGTCTCATTGTTACTTCTACTTTGCAACAATTTAGTAATATATAAACAGGCACCAGGTAGTTGATTCAGAAAGGAAAGTTACAGATAACCAATATTTTAATAATGAGGAAGGTAAGTTATATAAACAGGCACCAGGTAGTTTAGATAATTTATTACTCTACATAAACCCTTGTTTCCCATAATAAACGTACTGTTATAGATAACAAATTAATCCACAATATAACTTCTAGTTTTAGCTAACCCAAAAAATTATCATAGCCAATTAACCAGTATCAACATCGATTGTGTTTTATATTTTCATTAATATTATATTCAGATTATAGCAATTCAAATTCTATTTGTTCCAATACTAGATGCACCCAGCTAGCCTAATAAGTAATGAGGCAAGTTAATCAAATATTGAGGGATGTCATGGCAGCATCTTCCTTAAAGCACTGGAAAAATGAAGTGATATCTGGATACAGATACAGAAACTGTTATGAGAAAGGGATGTTCTCAACATGAATACTTCATATTCAACATAAAAGCAACTTCTACCAGCAAGCTATGCAGAAGGAGCATGGATTTTAATTTCTGTTAGGTAGAGTTTCCTGAACTTGATGGTGAAAGTTGGTGTGAGAATCCAAATTTGGTTAAGTGTAGCTTAATTTCAAGACCATGAACTCAGCAGGCACCGAACCTACTCACCGCATCTTCTCCTGATATTGCGCGCTCCTTTTCTGTCCCTGCAGCCAAGAGCCCACCTTCACTATCCATGTTGCACTCGTGATCATCACTGGTCTCATTTTCCTTTAACTTGAATTTGTAGGTTGGGAGAGCATTAATTGATTCCACAGTGGCTCCTCTAGTCTGAGAAAAATCCCCTCGAAATCCCAGGACGGAGATGATGCAGGGCAGGCAGCAACAAATTGTTGCACATAGTATGAATGGCATGGCATATCCGATACAACTAAAGGTTAGGAACACTATGCATAACCTATGAGAAACCCAGAAAACATTAGATGACTCAATAACCAGTATATATTAAACATTATGTTATTAAGAGGTACCTGTACAATTTAGGAGCATCAGAGGGAGAAGAGTGACCTCCAAAAATCCACACATTGCCTACCACAAACCAGACTGCAAAAAAGCAATCTAAGGCCATCTTGAAATGATCCACTAACCCATTAAGTCTGCAAAATACAAGCAGCTTCTTCACTTCACTACATCATCTATAAATCATGTGTAAAATGTAGGGAAACACAAAAAGAAAAGAAAAGATGCTTAAAACTTAGAAGATAGCATTTAAATTGTTTGATGTAGCAAATAGGATTTCAAATCTTAGTGTAGTTATGAAAGTGTGTCTGTGTGCATGTGTAATTATCAAGAACAAACACAAATTAATGAATTATACCAAATCCATTCCCCTAAAAGCAACCACACCAGGAAACTTTACAGCTGATGATATCAAGTAAAATGCAATACATCACCCATCAATTAAAATATAAAATGGAAAAATGAAGGAAAAATTGAAAAACCTTGCACTTAAGGGTCCTGCAATTTGAGGGTTATTTGTGACTGTTTCTGAGGTGCGATTGTTTTCTTCATCAGATGCTTGAGAAATTGAAATAGCTGTATATGACATTGGTTCAGGAGGATTGCTTTCAGAAGACCCTTGATGCGATTGAAAGGATTCTTGCTCAGCACCTCTGTTGCGGTTACGGAACCTCCAGTAAAGAATAGGAAGTGTTGCAACACAACCTGATGCATAACCCACAACCCATGCAAACAAAGGGGCTTGTGGATTTTCATTTGTTGACAATGACAAAACAACAATAGATGCTATAATCTGACTCACAGTGACAACAAGCTCAACAGAAATCCATAACCCTGAATTCAAAGGGCTTCTTCGGCGACGACTGTACCCATCACCTCTCCTCATAAATGACGAATTCCTAGAATTTAATCTGTTTGAGGAGGATGAAGCAGCTTGATAGGTAGGGGCATGTGTACTAGCTGATGGTCTCTCTTCATGCTGAGGCAAGTCCACTCTAGGAGGTTGGTCATCACTAGATGAACTTGCTGAAGTATCACGATTCCTTGTTACATCAATTATGTGCACATGATTGCTAGGGTTTTCCATCTGCTCTAGTAGCAAAGGAAATTGGTCACTTTGAGCGTCACTATTTGGTTCTGGAGAGGGAACATCCATCTAAGTCCGCCAACCAAATTGGAAGGTGAGGATGCATAGATTATACTTAACTTGCACTTTATCTACAAATCCTCCTCCTTCTTTACTTTCAACACTGTCTGAAGCGAAAAGATTCAAATAATTTATTTCTATTCATATGTAAGCTGCAACAGAATCAGAACTATAATTAGGTTTTTTTTAATCATTTCTATAAAACACAAATTGAACAATGCTACACTTAAAGCATTTTTAAAAGAGTAAAAAATAAAATGCAGGAGAGCAGGATTGCAATATCACATAATTGGTAAATGAGCAATGCCAGCCCACCAAAAAGATGATCAGGATCACATGACCAAACAGACTAATTGTCGTTCATACATTATGAATTTACTCAAACTTTTGGGTACATCACCACTATACAGAAACAAGAATGGGAGCGAGATACATAACAAACAAAACCATGTTTCAACAAAAAGATAAAACCAGACAAGTGGAAGGTGAATAAATCTATCCAACTGATATCATGAAAAACTAAAGACTTGCTATCAAACATCCCTATGTGGGTGATTATGGGCAAGTATAAGTTGATCGGATATGCATTACATTTTCAACTAATTCTTAGTTCTCAAACCAGTACTACAACACAAGTCAATACACAACAGCCTCAAAACTCAGAGACCCACATAGTGGAAAAGCAAAATAAATCCAATTTCAGAAAATCAAAGACATATGTCAAGCATAGAAGCAAAACCCATGTCTCAAAAACTTCATATACACTCAATTCACACACTAAATTACACTAAAGATAAGAAATTTCCCAAGTTGACCATCCAAAAACGATCAAATCAAGCAATGATATCAACTCCACGAAAAGCTTAAAACCCACTAATAATCCTTCTAATTAAGCAAGATATTACAATATTTCACAGAAAACAAAACCCACAACCCAAAAACGATGATGAAAAAGAAATGAAAGAAGAAGAAAATCGTAGCAGATTCAACTAGTTTATACCTGATAATATAAGACGCAATGAGTATCACAGTCAGACGACCAGCTTTAGAGCTTACTTTCTTCCCATGTCTTCTATTTTTCTCTCAGATTTTCAGTTTTCTCGAGAAAAAAAATATATAACGTCAGCTTTTTTGCTCCATTGCTCACGCAAACTCATCATAGATAGAGAGAGGGACAGAGTAAACGTTGAAATCAAAGCTGAGCTGTGGGTAGGGAGCGATATGAATTTTTGCACCGTTGGATTGTGGACAGGGATATCATCATGTTGTTGTCTTTGATGGACGGTCGAAATTCACTTGGTTTGGTTGGACACGCCGTACCAAATCCCACTACAACTCGGGCTTGTCACGACTCACGAGTCAAAAATCGGAGCTCCAGTCTGCTACCAAACTCAAGTCAACTCGCTTACTTGTCCAATTTATTATAATATTTAGAGGCAAAAAATATAATTGGCTTTTTTTTATCGCGCAAAAATTATATATATATATATATATATATTTATAATTACTCTTATTTATTGAAGTTGTTTTAATATTTGATAACAACTTGTTAATATATATTTGTGTTTACCATTTATGTGTTGACAAAAAAATATTTTTTTGTCATATAAATGATTACTACAAAAAAAAGTGGCAATAGTTACTATTATGTCACCAAATTTGATGACTGTTGTGGGGTTACTAAAGGCTTTAGTCACTAAAAAAAGCAAAAAATGTGACTAAAGTCTTTAGTAACCCCCACAACAGTCATCAAATGTCCCTAAATAATGGTAACTGTTGCCAATTTTTTTTTGGTAGTGGATGAAGAGCTATGCAACTTATCAATTACCGTTTCTTTAATAAAACGGGTACCATAATATGAATCAAACGGGTAAAAATTAAAAGTTAGTATATAAATGAATGAATGACATATGTTTTGTAATGATTAAATTTTCATCTAATAACTTAGAAACGTAGTTAGTGTACTATTAATAAACTACAAACAATATACATATATACAGAGAGCTTTAGTTAAGGATTCCCTCAAATAACTTGAGGGATATCTTTATAGGTCCCACAAAGCATTGTATTTCAATAATCTAAACTATCTAGTTTTTATGTATTTCCTCAAAGATCATTTTTGCAAAAAATCACTTCAATCCAAAACTATTTGACCACTCAATTAGATGGTTTTTATTATAGTCTTTTCTTGAAACACTATATTCGTCCATTTTGTTGATCCCAACTAGATGCCTTAATGATTTTCAATTTTCATGATTTTTTGCAAAGATGATCTATGAATGAATACTTGAAAAATAGATAGTTTTGATTGTTGAAAAAAAAATCGTAGGGAACCCTAAAGGGTGGCCCTCAAATAAAATTATTTGATGGATCTCTCAATAGAAAGAGACTGTACATATATATAGCATATAACAAGCAATGTCTTTATTTGACCAACTAATAATTTTGGTTCAGTAATACTTTTTTTTTTTTGCTTCTATTGTTGAAAGATGTCTCAAGTTTGAATCTCCAATCATTTAATGACAAAAAAGTAATGTGTTTATTTTTAGAAAAAGTAATCTTGTATATAATAGAAGGTAAGTCTCTGTTTATATTTTATTATAATATGATTCTTAACTTCATATTAAGAAGTCTCTGTTTATATTTTGTTATAATTATACGTTTAGCTGAGGACCTTGCAGTTATTCAGTTCTTAGATGAGGGCCTCCTTGCAGTGCAGCAACCCAGGAATGTAGGTTACAATTGATAGATATGTCTTTGTATTGGTTCTTTGGCTCCAGACTATACCAAACTTAAGAAATGTGCTGGCCAGAAGGTTGGCAGATTATACAACACATGCAAATATGTCTCTAAGCGTTTGGTATTGCTATGTTAAAAAAATAAAAAAAACTATTTCTGCCGTGTTGCGAGAATAATCAGTTATAAAAGAAAACAGTGAAGTATTTGGTAAATTGTATTTGTAAAAGTGTTGTGAGTGATCAAAAATTTAATGAGTATTTTTTTTGGTACTTACAATTTCTATAGTCTTTCTAGAAATAAAAGTAAACATTAAATCATATAAATTTAACCGCGCTAGTTCATAGCTCCATAAACTAATTTTCAATAAGTTTTAACATAAACCAAATAGGGTTTAACACCATAGTGGATTGAACATCTAAGGCTTTTTACCTAGATTGACCTTACTTCCTTCATGCATTCATATCATACATGACAAATTGTTTTATGCAAAAATATTGACTAAGTATGAAAAATGGGTTTTCGGAATAATCATTTTCTCAAGATAATTTTTGGCGGCTTTTATTCCTCACACATCAAATAAGAAAACTTGATTGTATGAGATTTTAGTATGAAGTATATATTGACTTAATGAGGCATCATTTTTAGCCTAAATCGTATTTTGCACTAAAACCGATTTTTCATATTTTGATTTGTTGGGAATTTGATTTTCTAGTATTTTTATTTGAATCTAAATGGGGGTTACTTCCTTATTTACATTGTAAACTTAAGTAAATGGAGGAATATAAAAATAAATAAAAGTAAAATGACAAAGACATTTACTTAAATGTTGAAAATGGAAAGCCACTAACACCGCAACTGACTGGGCTAATATTGAAAATAAGTTTTATATTTTTTTTTTCTTAAAAACAACCACACTAGGCTATAGCCCACTGTAGCCCTTAGAGCAAGTCCACCCCAAAAGGCTAAGGCAAGGCAAAGGCAAGGCAAGGGCTGCCACTATTCACATGAATTAAACAAGCTTTTCATATATTATTTTCGGTTGCCACGTGTCACTATTTATTATAAAATTATCACCTAAAATTTCAAATAACATTTTCGGATAAAATTTTCGAATTAAATTTTCGGATAAGATTTTTGGTTGCCACGTGTCCATCATTTTTCGGATGAGATTCTCGGTTGCCACGTGTCTTATTTCAGATAAAATTTTCGGATATTTATTTTAAAAAAATTGTAATCTCAGATTTCAGATAATATTTTCACCCTCTAAAATTGCGCCATGTGTCCCATGTCAGATACGATTTTCAGATATTTTAAAAAAAAATTATAATCTCAGATTTCAAATAAGATTTTCATCCTCTAAAATTGCGCCACATGTCTCATGTCATATAAGATTTTCAAATATTTAAAAAAAAATTAAAATCTCATATTTAAGATAAGATTTTCACCCTCTAAAATTGCGCCACGTGTCCCATGTCAGATAAGAATTTCAAATATTTTTTTTAAAATTATAATTTCAGATTTCAAATAAGATTTTCACCCTTTAAAATTGCGCCATGTGTCATCTCTATCTTTTGAATCCCTCTATTAAACTACACCATCAACTCATACCTCTCACACTAGATCTTATCTATTCCTTCATTTCTCAGATTTTACAAAACACATTCTACTCTCAATGTCAAACTTGAGGAGGGTGTTGGAGAGGCAAGAGCGAGAAGAGGAAGAAATATGGCGCAGACGTGCTAAGGAAGATTGGGAGGTCGATGAAGAAGAGGAAGAAATGGTTGTAGCGGTGTGTATGCTTAATGAATCAAGGCAACACCACCGTCGTCGTGCCCCGAATGTGGACAGACATAGGCAGTCTCAGGGTAAGAATCTCTTGGAAGATTACTTTATCCCAAATTCGTTATATCATGTTTCTAAGTTTCGAGAGAGATATAGAATGCAGCCACATTTGTTCCAAAAAATCATGCAAGATATTTGTAATTACGACACATACTTCATTAAGAAGTATGATGCTGTTGGAGTTTTGGGTCTTCTCCCGGAGCAAAAACTTACAGCTGCTTTGCGGATGGTTGCTTATGGGGCATCTGCAGAGCAGGTGGATGAGATTGCAAGGATGGGAAAATCAACTATCCTAGAGTGCTTGGTGAGATTATGTGATGCAGTAGAAAATCTCTACACGAGGGAGCACCTTCGCAAACCTACGCCTAGGGACCTCCAAAGGCTTCTACAAAAAGTTGAGGCTCGAGGTATTCCAGGAATGATTGAAAGCATCGATTGCATGCACTGACAGTGGAAGAATTGCACAACTGCTTGGCAAGGAGATTATAGGAATCGAAAGGGCCAAAAAAGTATAATTCTGGAGGCCATAGCTTCATTCGACACTTGGGTTTGGCATGCCTTCTTCAGAGTTGCCGAATCTCAGAATGACCTCAATGTGCTTGGTCAATCCCCGGTGTTCAACGATGTATTGCGAGGTCATACCCCCTAGATCACGCACCAAATCAACAATACCATATACTCTGGTGCGTACTACCTTGCCGACGGAATTTATCCTAGGTGGACGACATTCATGAAAACAATTCCGAATCCCCAATCCGAGAAGGAAAAAAGCTTTGCTGCATTTCAAGAAGGTAACAGGAAAGACGTGGAAAGGTATTTCGGTATCTTGCAAGCTCATTGGGGTATTATTAGGGGTGCTGCTCGGATGTTTGATGAGGAGGTGTTGCAGAGCATTATGATGACTTGCATCATCCTCTATAACATGATTGTGGAGGATGAGTATGATTATGATGCTCCAGAGGTGTTCGAATCGGATCCCATGAACACGGCCTTGATAAGAATTTATGAAAGGCCGATGGGACCAAATGGACATCCATTGGAGCACGAACCGTTTCTTCGGGATAACAACCCCATGATTGATCATTACCAGGAAATGCAATCTTTGTATGGTCACGACAGGCGTCAAGTTGACTTGATCGAGCACTTGTGGGAGATGAAAGGCAATCACAATGGATGAAGTCAAGATTAATACTTTGTTTTCAAGTTTGCTTTATTTTGTGTGTGGTGTGTTTGGAATTATGTTTTGCTTTTAATTATGTTTTATTTTGTGTGTGGTGTGTTTGGAATTACGCTTTGTTTTTAATTATGCTTTTAATTATGCTTTGTTTTGTGTGTTGTTTGCAATAAAATAAGGTTTGGTTTTAATTAAATTTTGTTTTCATGTGCAAATATTTTTAATAAATAGTCATATTATTTAATACTTTCTTTGTTGAATAAAAGGGAAACAATACAACAATTCTTAATACATATGGCAAATCTTTCAATCCAACCTAATGGTTTTGATCATTTAACCAATCCGTATGGCTAGGTCCGTCGTCATGGAAAAGTTTTCTTCTCATCACATCCCTTCGTTTCATCTTCCAATAAGACTTTGTTTCAGGAGACATATGGGTGGTATCCATGGCCATGATTTTCATCTCTCTA